TTTCAATGTGCACTACCCCAGAATAAGGATATGTTGTTGCATAGCCACAAAGTATATTTTCAACTCCAGCAAATTTAACACTGACATGCATGCTTTTCATCTCCCTATCGTCATATTCCAGTTGTCCATAGACTTGACTGTCTCCTTGCAGCACTTTTCCCTCCAGAAGAGACTTCAGTCTGGGATCCGTCTAGTTGTCATCTCACTGGTATATTTTTAAAAGCTACCCAGGGGATTTTTATGTGCACCCTGGACTTTGAACAACCATGTGAATGAATATTTACTACCCTAACATATGTTGAGTGTCTATCAGGTGCAAAGTATTGTGAATAGATTCAAGTTTATGATTTTTAAGGGACATATATATATGTACAAATACATACATATGTATATGTATGTGTATATACAAATCAACTATGATACCAGATGGATAAATATCACGAAAAAAGTGTTAACCAAATCTGTGGGAGGAAATTTTAAATGTAACAAGCTTACTGAGAGTCTACCATGTGCCAGGCATTGTACGAACTTCTGGAAAAACAGATGTAAGAAAAAATAATGAATGCACAATTAATAAGTAATGAATACATGGTTAATTTCAAAAGCTAGGTTTCTCAAAGGCTTTTTTGGGGGGAAGTGAGATTTAATAGATAAGTAGAACTCAACTTTTAGAGATGAAGACATTTCGGGAGAGTAAACATAAAGAGAAAAAGGAAGGGAAATGAGTGAATTGTGGAGTAAGTAAAGAAATGTACTTCACTGTAACTCGAGAACTGGGAGCATGGGGTTGGATTGGGTTTTCCTAGGAAAGTAGGCTGAACAATGTAAGATGATGCAGTCACTTTGGAAAATAGTTTGGCTGTTTCTTCAGAAGTTAAACATAAATATAACATACAATTCAGGGGCACCTGGGTGGCTCAGTGGGTTAAGCATTTGCCTTCAGCTCAGGTCATGATACCAGAGTCCTGGGACAGAGCCCTGCATGTGGGGGAGGAGGAGTTCCCTGCTCAGCGGAAAATCTGCTTCTCCCTCTGAGCCGCACCCCCCGCTCATGTGTGCACTCCCTCTCTCTCCCAAATAAATAAAATCTTTTTAAAAATAACATACAATCCAACAATTCAATTCCTAGATATCTACCCAAGTCTAATGAAAATGTTTGTCCACACAAAGACTTGCATAGGAATGTAATGTTCATAGCAACATTATTTACAATAGCCACAAAGAGGAAATGACCCCAATGTCTCCCACAGAAGGTACGTATCCATCAATGGGATACTAGTGAGCAGTGAAAAGGAATGAATCACTGACATATGCTACGACATGAATGAACCTCAGAAACATTCTGCTAAGATTTAGCAACTAAGTGAAAAGCACCAGATGGAAATACCATATATTGTATCTTTCATTGAGTTGAAGGGTCTGCAAAAGACAGATTTATAGAGACAGAAAGTAGATTAATGATTGCCTGGTGTAGGGGTGGGAATGGGGACTGACGACAAATGGGTACGTAGAACAGGTTTCTTTGGTGCGATGGAAATGTCCTAAACTGGATTACAGTTATAGTGTAATAACTCTGAACATTTACTAAAAAAAGGTTGAATCATACACCTAAATAGATAAATTTTATAATATATAAATTATACTTCAATAAAGCTATAAAAATTAAGTTATTAAAATCAGAGGAAATAAGTAATCTTAGAACTGAAAAATATAATTATTGAAATTCTAAAACTTGACAGGACTTAAGACTTAAGGCGGGAAAAACTTTGGACTGGACAACTTATTTAGAGGACTAGTGAACAGAAGGATTTAATTAAGGAATTCATCAGAATCCAACACAGAGGCAAAAAATATTTTTTTAATCACATTTCAGGGTATAGATGAAGAGGCTTCCTCACTGACCTAATGGCAGTTCCAGAAAAGAAAAGGTAGGCAATGACAGAGAAACATTATCTGAAGAGAAAATCACTGATAATTTTCCAGAATTAAAGAGAGCACACCAGTCCTCAACAGAAAGTACACTAACATATAGTAAGTCCTGGTGAAAGTGCTGAACACCAAAACAAAACAAACACAAATATTACATGTTATCAAGGGAAAGGCAGACTGACCACAAAGGAATGAAATTTAGTCTAGCAGCAGAATTTTCACCAGCAACAACCAGTGCCAGAAAACAATGGAGTACCTTCATCACTGTGCTTTGGGAAAATAACTGTTCACTAGAGTTTTATACCCAATAAATTATCACCCAATACTGAGCACAAAATAATGACAGTTTCAAATATGCAAAGAATTCCCTCCCCTACCTAGACCTCAACAGCAAAAATTACTAAGAAATAGACTTCAGCTAGAAGAAAAGTGAACCTAAAGAGAAGGCTTTGCATTCAAGAACAAAATAGTGAGAAGTGATGAAATGTCAGTGAAATTAATTAACACTTGATCATAAAAATGATTTTCAAATTTAAAAATGTCAAATGCTCTAGACAACAATGGCAAGATGGAAAAGGAAAGGGCTGTTAAATGGGTAAAGTATGCAAAAATCTTTTGCAGGAATGGGGCACCTGGGTGGCTCAGAATGTGTAGCCCCTAACTCTTGATCTTGGATCAGGTCATGATTTCAGGGTGATGATCTCAAGGTGATGATCTCAGGGTCCTAAGATCGAGCCCCAGGTGGAAACAGGCTCAGTGGGGAGTCTGCTTGAGATATTCTTTCTCCCTCTGCCCCTCCCCCCTCCCCTTCTTTCTCTCTCTCCAAAATAACTAAATAAATCTTAAAAGAAAATCTTTTACAGGAAGAAAGAATTACACCATATTTTGTTAGAAAAAATTATAGTTAAGTACATATGTTGAAAAATAAAAGACAGTTTTGAGAAGAATAGAAATAAAGCCTAATGCCCTCAAACCAGCAGTGGAAAATGAGGAAATACAGATCATTTTACTAATTCAATAGAAGGCAGGGATAGAGGAAAAGGAAGAATGAAAAAGGACAGCACACAAAAACATAAAACATGATAGAAGAATAAGGCCCAGTATATTAGTAATCACAATCAATGCACAAAGATTAAATTCACCTGGCAGAAATACAATCAACTTACCGAAAGATTCAGTCTAAAGAAATGGAAAATATGTGACACACAAACATTAGCCAAAAGAAAGATAGCACATTGGTATCAATATTAAAATGTCTAATTTAAGCAATTAGCATAAACACCATAAAGAGAGGCACTACAAAGTAAGAATCCATTATGATTTCTAATGCAAACTATCCTTTGAAGAAACACTGCCTACTGTGTGCCAGGGATCATGCTGCTTTCTCCACTGCTGTTAGCTTCAGTGCTTAGCACTTAATAGGTGTGCCATAAATACTACAGAGTGGAACACTTACCACATTGTATTGAAATGATCTGTTCAAGTGTTTGTTATACACAGGGGTAAAGACCATGTCTTAGTCAGTTTTGTGCCATCAATATTCAGCACAGCACCTGGCACACAGTAGGCACTCTATAAATTCAAACTGAATTAAAGGGTTCATCTCTTCCATAAAAATCTCCCCTAACTGTTCCTGCCCATAATTACTTACCCTTTGTTTCCACTTCTATAGAACTCACAGTTTGAAATACCCAACTGAGCAATTGATTATATAGTAGCGTCTGAGTTTTCTTTCCATATTTCAAACTTGTGTCTACAAAAACATTTTAGATTCTTTAAAGATAGAGATGGCTTATCCTGTGTCTAGAGCCTTGAATCAATATTTTTTAGGGGTTGATGTCACATTTGGATAAATGTAGATTAGATCAGTGGTGCCAGCCACACATGCCAAACCCTCAAGGGGTATCTCCAATCCCTTTTTTCAATCATTGACTAAAGAGATCACTGTTTGGAAACAGGCTCATATGCCAAGAATGTGGAGAAATTGATAGGAGGGGCAGGAGAAGGCAGCTAGTGTCCATTTTCAAGTCCCTGTGCTCCCTTCCCTCTGGCAAAACAGGAACGAGCCTGTGAACCTACAAAAAAAAGGGGGGGGGTATGGGAAGGTTGGAGGAAGACAGGGAAGAGAGCATGTCCCATATACTGCTGGACAGAATCTGGACCTGACCCTTCCATTAGCAGTCATGGTATCAGGAGTTTATTATGATGTCAAAAGGAAACTCCAAGGCAAACAGCTATATTCTCCCACTGGAACCTTGTGTAAGAATGGAATCTTGTTTCCATCTATACACAAGGCACAAGAGGGGAAACCGACAACAAGGAGCTCCTAATAGGGAAGCTGTCGAGGGTTAACCAAGGGCAAGGTGGCATCTTCTTGGTGGTCTTCATCTGGTCCTGGAGAGGTTCAGTACTGTCCCTGGGAGGACGTAGGAAGATGGGCTGGCTGACCTCCCAAGGTCTTTTGTAATCCAATAATTAATGGGGGAATGGTGCACTTCCCTATTTATGCTCTTACAACATCTGCACCCAGTTTGATAGTAAATCCCCTGGGCTGCCTTCCAGGTTTAGTACGGTGCCAGGCAAGCTGCCGGCACTCAACAAATGGCTCAAATATTTGTTGAATGAAGGAAAAAATTAATCAAGTGTTTAAACAGAGTCCACATGACCTCCCCAGCTGTAAAGTACAGCGATGAATAAAATCACAACATTCCAGACACGATCATTTGAGCAGAACTGGCAAAGGAAAACACACGCGTGCGCGCGCGCGCACACACACACACACAATTCACACTAGCACTGATTCAACTATGTTTCCCACCTTGGGAGCACAGACCACCTGCTCAGCAAGCAGTCTGTAGGAGTTTCTTTGGTAAGAATCCTCTCTCTCCACAGAGGTGCTTCCAGAAGGTCAATTTACCAAGGTTTAGGACCGCTTCCCTTACCGACTGGCCTCCCAGACAAAGTTTCTGCCCGGATTCAGCCTGGGCCTCTCCTGGTCGAGTCTGCTCTCCCCCAACCTGGGCACCGCACCCAGGGCGCGCAGCTCGCCGGCCCGCAGCGCTTCACCTTACCTTGGTGAGCTGGGCGATCTTCTTGCACATTTTCACGTGCATGTCGGGATCCCAGTCCATTCTCCAGTCGGCGCCACCGCGGGCATCAGCTTTGGAGCCCTGGGAAGTCCCGGACGCGTGAATTTTGCTGTTGAGGACAGAAGCCATGACTATAACGCGTTCAACACTCAAGGGTTCTCGCTCGTGTTCTCGCTGCCCGCGGTGTGCACGTGCGTGCGCGCGCGGGCCTGTGAGCGTGTGGGCTTTCTCCGGAGCGGTGGCACTGCAGTCCCGCCGCGCGGCCCCTGCCGTCCAGAGGTGTTGGCCTTTGGGCGGTTCTCGAGCCCACCCTCCCTGCTCCGGCCCTCGCTCGCTGGCTCGCGCGCTCTGCGGACACCCGCACCCTGCGGCGAGACGCCGAGGATCCGCACATGCGGCTCGCGACCCGCGCGCGGCTCTCCGGCCCGAGCGGATTTCGCCTGCAACAGTGGAGCTTCAGCGACCAGAAGCCGCCGGCCTTGGAGAGGTTTGCGCTGGCCCCGCGCCCCGCTCTTGGACACGTGGGTGGCTCCTGGCTCCCGACTCAGCAGCGACTGCCGGTGGTGGGCACCCCAAGCCAAGGAAGAATTAGGGCCGGCCTCAGCCTCGGGCAGCCGGGGAGCACGGTCTGGGAAGGGGCCCTTGGCGATGTTCTCCGGGGTGGACGGGTAGCGAGGGACAGGGCACCTTGACCAGCCAGCACCCTCAGCCCCAGGCTCCGGAGCCTCAGAGGTAGGCGCTGAAGGCAAAGATTGCGGCCGGGGAGGTCTTGAGAGGGAAAGGGAGGTAAGAGCAAGTCGCGGGGACGCGACGAGGTACCGGGACCCGGGTGCATGGTGTGGGCCCCAGTAGGGACTGCGGGTAGCAACCCCCCTTCCCCCATCTTGGGGAGGAGCCCGGACGTTGCGGGAGGATTGCCAGAGATCACCGAACAAAGGGAAGAAGCCAAAGGGGCGGCTGAGAGGTGCTGGTGACAGAAATCTGGGACGAGAAAGAGAGGAACGCGTAGTACAAGAAGCGGTAGGAGCGCAGAGGAAAAGTCATCAGAGAGGCCAAAAGGATGGTAGCAGGTGTGGGAAAGGAGGAAGCAAAGAGGAATGGAGTAGTTGACAAACAGAGCTGAAAGTCTAAGTAAACCGAGCTCAGTGAAAGGGAAGTGTGACTCATCCATATCCACGCTCTTGGCCACCGGCCAGATGGAGCCAGAATCTTGTCAGGATTAGGGGTTTGTGCATTTTTATTTTGCTTGTTGAGTGCAGGAGTTAGTGACCAAATTTCTTTGTGGCTCTCTTTCTCTGGGTTCAAACAGTGGGCTTTGGGGCAAAGTGACAACACCCTGATCAGATTTTCCTAACATGTGAATTATAGCATCGACATTATAAGCAATTTTCATGCTTAATATATTTCATTTTACAGACTGCTTTATATCAAGAGTTTTAGTCATCTTGATAAAGCAAGCAAGCTCCAAAGGGTTTAAGAAACCACAATCCCATTCTCTACACTGCAGGTAACTATACCCATTTTTATAGATAAGAAAATAGATCCAGAACATTTGTGCCAAGCCAGGCAATTGCACGTAGCCCAGTGTGTCTGAACCAAGATATTCTTATTCTAAATTTCTTACTCTGGCCCCAGGATTCTACACTGGGTAGGAATGGCCAACCTGGGTTTGTGGTTTCTACTAAATTTAGGTTTCCTCTCTGAGACAACATCTCAGTTTCCCAGTGCATTTAGAAAACAGAATGCCTGAACCAAAATCTCTCTTGATATAGTGTCTTGGTCCTATGCTAGATTCCCTGAGTCAAAATACTTGGAGTTGAGTGTCCAAGAACCCACATTTTAAACAAGCTCCCTTTAAAGTACTTTTTGCAGGGTCTTATTGCCCCTAGGAATTCAACCACTGTGTAAACTAGAGGGAAATTAGCCTTAGTCCAAAAATGTTACCAAAAGTTGTTCACCATTTTGGAAAATCACATCATCAATGGCCACATGGCTCATGCTATTTGGTTGCCAGTACAACACACTTGTATTGTATTTGACCCGTTCATGGTGAGTCTACCCAGATGTCCAAGCATGGGAATAATACATTAAGTCACAGAGTTAATCATATCAGATCATTTATATATTGAAATACACATTTAGTTGTAATGACTTTCCTTTTATTTCTTTATCTTACAAGTATCAAGAAATTATACTGGTTTTTAAAAATGTGTGTGCTCATTTAAAAAATTATCTCTGAATTTCAGTATAGTAACATGAACATTATTTTAAAAAGTGACATCTGGTCTGAATGGGGTTGAGAATTCACACTAAGGTTTGTTAAGACTGTGATCTAACACCAAGTTTTACTTATTTAAATGTGATCCTATTAGGTCTAGGGGCTGAAATATTTTCCAGTGGGATTTTTTTTTAAGAATTTTTTTTTTTTTTTAAATTCATTTGTGGGATAGAGCAGGAGTAGAGGAAGGGGAAGAGGGAGAAGCAGACTCCGCTGAGCAGGGAGCCCGACATAGGGCTTGATCCCAGGACGCTAGGATCATGACCTGAGCCAAAAGCAGACACTTAACCAACTGAGCCACCCAGGTGCCCCATCAGTGAGATACCTTATACTTTCAAAAAAAAATTTTTTTTTAAAGATTTTATTTATTTATTTGACAGAGATCACAAGTAGGCAGAGAGGCAAGCAGAGAGAGAGGAGTAAGCAGGCCCCCTGCTGAGCAGAGAGCCCACCTGGGGGCTCGATCCCAGGACCCTAGGATCATGACCTGAGCAGAAGGCAGAGGCTTTAACCCACTGAGCCACCCAGGTGCCCCCCCACAAAATGTTTTTTTAGATTTTTATTTATTTGACAGGGTAAGAGTGAGAGAGCACAAGAGGGGGAGGAGTAGGCAGAGGGAGAAGCAGGCTCCCAGCTGAGCAGGAAGCCTGAAGCAGTATTCCATCCTGGGACTCCAGGACCATGACCCCAGCCCAAGGCAGACGCTCAATTGCCTGAGACACCAAGGCACCCCATACTTTCAAATTTTTCATGGAAGCCTAGGAAAACCCCAGACTCTTTTATCAGGCTTTATTGAACCATAGCTTCTAAGTAGGGAAGATAATATAAGCTGACCTGTCTTGGAAAGAGTTCTCTGCAGCTGCTGAGATTTCCTAGCACTATGATTAGTGGGTTCTTTCACACTATCAGGAATGAAATAGAGGGCAGAAGGGAATTAAGCACTGTATCAAATATGGCGTGTGGGTGGGAACATTTATTAGACCACTAATATGATCTTGGCATTGTGCTATGCTCTTTGCACACGTTCTTACTTCCTCTAAGGTACTTATTATCATTGTCATTCTACAGACTAGGAAATTGGAGATAAGGGAGGCTAAGCACCCGATTTTATACAGCTGGTAATGGATCTGAGTCTATCTGACTTTGAAGAGCACAATGCTGGTAATCTGAAATTCTTAAAAGCCATAATTGATTTGTTCTTTCTGTAGATTATAGAAATGTAAGCCTCTTACAGTACTCCTCTCCCTCAAAAAACTCATCTGTAATAAGACAAAATATAAGAAGCAAACAAAAAATTACCCCCAATCCTACACTTAGAAAAAACTACCGTTAATATTTTAGAGAAGATTCTTTTATATGTCCTTTCTGTACACATCTAGAAGATGTTATGTACATAAATGCATATTTAAAACAAATGGAATACTGTACATCATGTTTTTGAACCCTATTCATTCATATAAAATAGACATATTTTCTTCTTTTGTCATTAAAGATATACATTCCTACTTTGAACAATCAGTATCTCTATACAAAATAACATATTTATCCTAACCCCTACTGAAATTTTTAAAAAAAATATTTTAAGCAAGATGTTTCATATATGTTTGCTATGCGTATTTTCTTTCTTTTGGTGGGGGGAAGGGCAAGGAGAAAGAGAGAGAGAGAATATTAAGCAGGTTCCATACCCAGCATGAAGCCCAACACGGGGCTTGATCTAAAGCCCCTGATATCAGGGCCGGAGCTAAAACCAAGAATTAGATGTTCAACCAACTGAACGATCCAGGCACCCAACAATATTCACTTCTGTTCTAAAGGACAGGGAAAACAAAAAGGACATATAAAACTCATGTGTTAATATAATGGGAAAGCAAATAGCTTATGAGATAGGATTGTTAAGATGTGTTAAGTATAGAAAGCATATGGTAAGACAAGATAAAGATAGAATGGAATATACGTGGAAAAGATGGAACAAACAAGAGGGTTACTAACTGAAAATAATGGAAAGGCCAAGTTTTAAGTTAAGATGATATCACCTTCAGGCTGATAGCTACATTATCTCCCCAAATGCTATTCATTTTCCACACCCATCCTAGCCCCATATATATGTTCTGTCCCAGAAAAACACAGAAAGCATGGATCACAGCAGACCTCTAACCAGGCATACTTGCTCCGCACGTTTCTCATAGAAGCATGTGTCAGCTCTAGGCACCCCTCTATCTGCTGAGCTGCCTTTCCAATTTCAGCAGTGGTCCCCATAACAGCCCTGTCAGGAGTGAAGGTCAATGCAGCAGATAGGACATAAACACTGCCTAAGACAGGATTTGGGTAAATATGGTCCTCCTAGCTCCCTGGCACCTTATCCCAAATGTCTTAACTGTCACTATCAAATTGACTTCTATTGAAAAGTGATTGACTCAACCATGTGATTTTGAGCATCTTAATTTGGGCTATGGAGTTTCCTGTCCATGACATATGGGATAGCCTGCCTGATAGTGTATTTGGAGATTACCACTGAATCAAGATAACTTCCTACATGACATCATATGTGGATCTTTGCACACATATGCAAGTATTTCCATAGGAATAAATCCTAAGAAACCAGTTTCAGTAAGTCAGCAAATTTTAAATGTTGATGATATATTGTTATACCATTCTTTTGAAGTTATGCCAATTTATACTCTCATTAAGAGGGCACAAAAATGTGTGTTTTCCCACACCCTTGCCAAAACTAGCAGGTATTGATATTCAGAGAGCTTCCATTTTAATAGGTAAAGGGTGTCTCCCTCTACACACCATTTACGTGAGTATTAGTAGGGTTGTTGGAAGACCTTTCCAGAAACTGATCAGTTATTGGAATTAAACCTTTTTTTTTTTTTCATTGTTTTCACTGGGCTTTCTTCCTTGTGTTGAAATAACTTTCTAGGCCCAAGACAAAGTGCTCAGAATGTCACATCAACAGCCTGAAACTTAAGATAACTTCTGTGTTGT